AAAATGCTTTGATGATGCAGGAGATCAGTGAAAAATGTTACAACAAAGGTATGAAGAAGACCATCTCTAAGTGCACACCATGTTCAGCCCTGAAGCAGACAGGCTACAGCAGAGGAATACCACAATGAGCTGCCAAAAACAGAAAACTAGGAATCATCTCCTCAGCAATTAAAACTTATCAGACCAGGCAACACTGGAAAAAAAAACATTGTCTGGTCTGATGAGTCTAGATTTCCCTGTGAGAATTGGAATGGTAGGGTCAGAATTTGGTGTAAACATCATGAAAACAGGGGTGAATCCTGCCTTGTCACAAAGCTCAGATTATCAAAAACAGATTTTTTGAACATGACGATGAGTTCACTGTACTCAGATGGCTTTCGCCCACAAATCTGAAGCAACTGTGTGATGCTATCATGTCAATATGAATCCAAATCTCTAAAGAATGTTTTCAGGGGACTGTTGAACCAATGCCATGAGAATTAAGGCAGCTCAGGGGCCCAACCCTGTATTAGAAGGGTGTACCTAATAAAGTGGCAAGTGACTGTATAAAATGACACTGTCATGCTTTATTATGTAGGTATTTGTTGATATGATTTGAACTTGAAAAGCAGAAGTAACTGTTCTGTTACATAAAAACTGTCATTCTTAAAGACAGTATCGAATCAGTTTTAAATGCCACAGAAAGACCGCTATTATATGCAGGAGTTTGGAAAAAAAACATGTTTTTTCCCCCTCACTGTGCTTTATTGGTTTTTATCAAAAAGTATCAACTAGTGCCGCCCTCGTTAAAATTTCATGCAGATATCTGGCAGTCTGTGAGGGAGTTATGAAACCAGCCTTTGAGCTTCTTTCAGTCTCTCCGATGCCTGGAGGAGGCTGAAGACAAGAGTAGCAAGCTGCTATTAAAAATCTATATTACTAATTTGGACAAAAAGTAGATGGAGAAATTGCATAACAGCGGGAGTGATGATCTTATCCATCTATCCTGCTATCAAATTTAGGGTTGTGTTGGGGGGCTGGAGGCTATCTCAGCTGTCATAAGGCAAGAGGAAAAGTCATCAGCCTGTTGCAGGGTTTTATTATTTAGAAAACCCTGAAGTTGAATTTGAAAACTACAGAAACTACAGCTCAAAGGAGGAGCTTCTCTCATGCCGGCCCAAAACCACATGTATATTTTTAGATATGAAACCACATGAATTATTTATGTAGACCTACAGGCCCTGCAAAAATAGCAAAAACACCTGCCACATACTCACAACAGCTGCTTTGTTGACACTTTTTTCTTTTTTGCATTGTTCACCTGCCAGTTAGCGGCTATTACAAATAAGTTTGGGGTTTTTTGTAACGTACACCCTGAAGCCACAACTACTTCACACAGGTCACTGTATGAGCCAGTGTGTGAAAATGATAGCTCTATACATCCTCTGCTATCTGAATTGATAGCAGAGGTTGATCATTGCAAGGAAATTATTGACTGGTAAATATCAATGTGCTGGCCTGACCGTCGGTGCTGTGCAATTTTCTGCAATATGATGTTACACTATAAACAACACAACAGCAGGTGACCTAAAAAACTGGAAACAGCCCATGCAATATAAAGACTCAGCACCAAAATGAACGAATTCTGTAGAATCTGACAGATTATAGGCCCATTCAAACATTCAGTGAAATTACTGTGAGCTGGAGGTCACCTTATGAAATGCAGTGCTTTACTGCTAATACTAGCTATACCCATGAAATTAAATTAAGCACCACACCTATTATTTAGGATTTTCAAAATAAATATTCTACTGTACAAAATGTCCAGTTAAATAATATAAAATAAATTTAGAAAATCCTCCTTAACCACGTTTTCTTTTTGAAACTCTGCGATTATATGTGTTTTTCCCAGACAAAACAATTTTATTTTATTTCTCGCTGTTGCATTCCACAGATTCTATTGATTCTTCTCTCTCACAGTCTCTTTGTGTTTGACTGCAATCACTGACTTGGGCGTGATAGGAGCAAAAAACCTCAGGAGCTGCAGTAAAGACAGATGGGCCACCAAACAAACCACAGTCCTCAGTGAGCACAGCTGTGACAGAAAAATGAGAAGTAGTTTATACACTGAAACTTACCAAGCCCTCAGGAATTTAGTGTCACAACAATCAACATTGCCAATCTCTAAGAAAAAAATTAAAATAAAACTCAGTGTTCCACTGACTAACCTTGACTTTCTCCTTAACTGTGTACAAATCTGTGGCAGCGTGCACACTATCTACCTCCTTTGCTCCACCCCATGCCAGCGTGCATTTATGCTGAAATTCTGAGTGGCCTTCCCCATACATATTTGAACAAACACAGTTCAAGCAACACTTGAAAAGCCTCCTCTGTTGCACTGTTTACACAGCACTCTAGACAACTGAGCGACCTTGTTTTAGCTGTAAAATTACTCTGTATATGAGCCACATAGATCTCTGACAAAACAGCTTTGAGTCACATTTTTTTCACTGTGAAGTTGTGCCATAAGTCACTCTTATTCAGCTGGATTTATGAATTCTGCTTGGGTGCACTGATAACTACCATAAATATTCAATATTACATGTGAAACAAAGCAAAATCCTCCATAATCCTGTTTGCTTTGAACACTATCTGTTAAGCATGAGATGCTGAGCTCCAGCCATGATTGAATCTGAAAATGGATATCACACACACCTACATCCACTCAGCATGAGAGATACACACAGTCATAAAGGCACATTATTCACAGTCCTGGCTTATGACTTGTCGCCTGTGAAGCTAATGAGTTCTACTGCATATTAGGTTTATCATAGAAACAACAGTTCATCTTTAATAACTTGTAGAAGACTCAAGAGTCTGGAGACCAAAGTGATCTATTGTTGTTTATATTGTCTCATGTCCAGACCTTCACATAAATAAATAAATAAAAATATAAGTTGCTTGTTAAACTATAGGACATAAATTTAAGGTCAAGCGCTTTTACATTTATCCAGTTTATCGATGGGTTGTTAAACTTTGATGACTCTGCTGAAGTGTTTCGAAGAACTTGCGCCTGATTTGTTCGGCTGAAAGATCATAATCAATCAAATAACTTCCAGAGGGTTTGAGATTCATCATTGCATAAGAGAAAATTACAAGGCCAAAGAGTTTTTCTTGGACGAGAGAGAGAGAAAGAAAACACACTCACCTTGAGCTACAGATGGACACGATCGGTGAACAGATGTTTAACTACAGGAAAGGCCACAGCCGGAGAAGAGATAGTCAATTTAGAGCCCCAACCAAACAGCCTGGCTACTCTACTATAACAAGTACACACATGCACCATCCAGCCGCGCTGAAAAGCATCAGTCTCTCCACCGCTGCACGGAGGAGGGAGAAGAGAGGCGACTGACTGAAGCCAACTCCAATTAAACTGCAAAGCAAAGCTCGGCGTCAACTTAAAGGGGCGGCGTTTCTATCACTGACATGTTTCCGTGACGCATAGACGTGTAGAGGAGGTCCCCAAAGCGCAAGGACACACAGTGTAGAAGTTATCTTCATATTTTACATGCAGTCCTGTTAATTAATGCGTTATAGTGGATCTTAGAGGATACATATTTTATTTTACTTTTTTATTTTATTTTATTTGACTATTCTCATTAGTAAATATCACAAAAATGGTTAAATAACTGTTATTAGAAGCGATAAATGAAGTTCAAACGACAAAAGTTAACATATACCGCCACCTACTGGATACACTGCTGAATCACATCTGTGCTGTTAAAGTCAAAGCGTCTGCAAACAGATTAAAATGCAAAAACACAACAGTTGAGTAAATAGGTACTTTTTTCTATACCTCTAAGTCATTTCACGTGATTTAAGTATAGACTTTTTGCATAATTATGACAGCAGACAGAAAGAACTCAACAAAAGCAATATAATTTTTATTTCCACCCCGTCGACAAACTGATATTGTCTCCATTATTAAACAGCAAAACTGTGCATGTCTACTTTGCTTTGTGAGCCATTATTCTTTTTCAGTGAAAGTCTGAATGAGACGCTGTTGTATCAGTGAAGGCTGCAGGCTTGCACCTCAAGGACATACTGTCATAAAAAAAATCATTTCACACAAGTCAGCCTGACTGCAACAGATTTTGTGCAAAAGAGCCTTTTTTTCCCTTTCACAGTGGCACGCTGGAAGGTTACTGCGGCACCTATAATACACAGAGTTGGATTCCATAACACAGGCAGCACAATGCTTTGTGCTGCACTCTGTGTTACATTTGCTGGAAAAATCAGCCTCGTATTTTTCTCTCTCTCTCTCTCTGTAAAATTGGAAAGGTTACAGGGAAGACTAAAGTATTCATCTGTGCAGCATTATGAATCTGGTACAGCTGAATTGCTTCTGTGTGCACTGTGCAGGCTGGCTGAACTCACTGAAGTGAGCTTTGAAGGCTGTTGCTTTTATTTTACTTGATACAATTAGCTACAGCTTGTAAGAGACCAGTACTGTAAAATAAATCCTGAGCTCGAATGCAAATGAAATGTGTGTAAAGAGCAAATTAACAGTGCTTCCGACATGGATGAAACACTTACTGTGCTTGCAGTAATATGTTTATTCTAATTAGCTTCAGTCTGAAAGAAAAACAAAAAACAAATTGCATTCTTATATAGCTACAGAGAAACATTAAATGTGACTATAGTCGTATGAGGGATTGCACAAAATAGGCTGTATCCTTTATGGTCAGTCCATGAAAGTCCATTTTTAGTTGTGCCAAGAAGTCTTTAATGCGGGTGTTATGTAACAATAACCTATATTGAAACCTGTAATAAATTGCTCTATAGGTGCAATAACGCTTCTGAAAAACTGTTCACTGCATCTTTGGTTATGAAAAGTCACACTTAAGTAATGTTAAATACATGCAGTCATTTAAATTTTAATACTAAGTTACTTTCAGGATTCAGGTTATTAGAACAGCTATTGCTTTACTGAGATATTAAAATTATGTTTATAAGGCCATATGGGAGCTGCCTTTGTGCTGTTGCCTCACAGCACAAAGGCCCTGGGTTTCAATCCATCAGCTGGACAGGGCCTTCCTGTGTGTCGTTTGTATGCTCTCCCTGTCCTCAGGCTTCCTCCCACAGTCCAAAAACATGTATGTGGTTAGGTTAATTGGCTGTAGGTGTAAATGTGAGAGTGGTAAACTGTCCAGGGTGTACCATGCCGTTTCTCCTCTGACAGCTGGGAACAACTCTATCCATCCTTGCAATTCTGAATTGGATAAGTGGGAAAAATGGCTGGATGGAAGGTCATCCATGGATGTAGTAGCAGTTAATCCCATAGAAGTTGTGTTTTTTCCCACAGACTACGTTGTCTCTAAGGTTCACAGCAGCATGAGTGATGGAGCTGTTGAACTTGCGATGAGCCTCTGACTTGCTGAATGAATGTTGAAGGTCTAATAGGGTCAGGGCTGCACCTGATTTACCCACAGTCCCAATGGAAGAACTGCCTGGCAGGACAGGAGTGCGTGGCATGATGCACGGATTAGAGTTGCCATGTAGCCGCTCTCTGTCTTCTGCTCCTGGTAACAATTTGGGATGTGATTCCCTGCTTGTCTGGTCTTTGTCTTCAAGTAGTGGACTACAGCTGGGTATATTTCTTCCAACTTGAAAAAGTTTTTTGTTACTTAGCACATCCTTTACACAGATGCTTTCCTCTCTGTTGACTTCTATCTCTCCTTGGGGATGTAGGTGGCTGGACAGGTCCCAGAGTTGCTCTGTGTTTGTGATCTGGGCAGCGTTAGCCTCTTGGTTGCTCTGTGACGGGGATCCTTGCATGACATTGTCAAACTGGACTTTGCAGTTTTCCCTCTTTCTGCCCTTATGCGCAGAGCATTTGCACTGAGCTTGCTGCTTGCGTAAGACCTCCTGGGACAGCTCAGTCTGCTGTGCCTTTGTGGAGTTAGTGCTGCACTCTGATTGAGTATGACCTATTTGGTTCAGATCTGGTGCCTCATTACGCATAGCTGTGATCTCTTGTGGTTGGTTCACAGCAGGCGAGGCAGTGCTTTGGTTTAGAGTTGGAGATGTATTTTGGAGTTCAGCAGCAGTGGGACTGCAGCTGCTCCTCCTGACATTGCTCCCCAGTCTTTTTCTACATCCTTGCCTTGCTTTAGAAGGAACAAACACAGGATGCGACCTTTCTTGCTGCAGGGAAAATAATTAGACTTATTAGTGTTCTGGTTTGTTAATGCTACCGTATAATAAATGCAATAGCTTTTACCAGGTTTGACGTGTGTGAATTAATCCCAGCAAAGTTAGTCATTTTTTCCTTGAAATCATCTGTCATAAAAGGATTTGCTGGCCCTGATCCTTAAAACAAGATTTCACATTAATGTCAGATTTTGGATTACTGCACAAAATACAATATCAACTACAGAACGTTACACATTACAAATGCAGATGCAGTGGGGGAATAATATACCATTAATACT